CTAGTACTTAGTCCGTGTCTAAGTCTGTAGTCCCCAGTTCTGTCATTGACGTTGCTGTCGTGTTTCCCCGGTCCTGTCCGTGTGCAATAATGTCACGTTTACCCTGCTTCCTGGGTCAGCTCGTCTACTTGCCCGCTCGCCTGCACCACCGATCGTGACAGCACCTCCTGCTCGTGCCACGCCCCCTGTTCTGCCCGAGCCTCCAGCACCGGCCCACGTCCCCGAGGAGGTCCCGGACAATGGGACCCTTGCTCCTTTCTCCTCTGAGGAGGAGGAGCCGGAGTGGAACCCCTCGGGGACCTCCCTCTGGACTCCCGTTCCCTTGTCTGGCTGGGAACATCGGCCTGGTGGACCCCGCCTGTCAGTGTCCCGTAAGGGACGGGGCCACAGGCGTCGGGCCCGGTTCCCGCCCGCCCTGCCCCCTTGCTCGCCCTTGCTCACCTTGCTTGGGGCTCCGGGGTCACCGGCTGCGCCTCCGGCTCGTGGTCGGCGGTCGCCTCCGGTTCCCCCCACGGTGCCTCGGTGTCGGTCCTTGGTCACGCCTCCGGCGCCTTGTCGGTCGCCTCCGGGCCCTCCTGCTTCGGCGGGCTGTCGGACGGTGCCTACGCCGGCTCCGCCGTCGCCTGCTGCGGCTTCCCCCTCCTGCCCGCCTCCGCTGCTGTTCCCTCCTGCTCCCTTCATGCCCCCTCCGTCTCTCCCTCGTGTCATCCCCTTGGCCCCTGTATGGTTCCCTCCGGCTCCCTTCTTCCCCTCGCCTGCGGCCCCTCCGGCCGCCGCCTGTCGCCTGTCTGAGCTCCCTCGGGCTCCGCTCCTCCCTCCTTCTTTTCCTTTCGTCCCGCCTGTCTCTGCCCCTTGTCCCTCTGTTCCGCCTCTGTTCACCCCTGGCCCCTTTGTGTCGCCTGTGGGTGTTCCTGCTGTGCCCCCCGTGTCTCCCTTCCTGGCTTGTCTTTCCGCGTTTCCTGTTCTTTGTCGCGTCCTGTCCTTCGGTTGGTCTTTGTTCCAGTTCTATGTCTCGGTCCTGTTTCCCTGGTCTCGTTAATGGCTTTGTTCTTGTTTTCCAGGTCCTGTTTCCCCGGTTTGGTCTCCTTCATCACCTCCCTTTGGGGCGCGCCCAGAGTGCGCACCTTTGGGGGGGGGTCTGTCATGATCTGCTCCCGATGTTTACCACGCCCACCTCCTTACCTCGTGTGATTCCCTGATTGTTCTCACCTGTGATTCGTTCTCCGTAGCCTGTCTCTAGTACTTAGTCCGTGTCTAAGTCTGTAGTCCCCAGTTCTGTCATTGACGTTGCTGTCGTGTTTCCCCGGTCCTGTCCGTGTGCAATAAAGTCATGTTTACCCTGCTTCCTGGGTCAGCTCGTCTACTTGCCCGCTCGCCTGCACCACCGATCGTGACACAACCCTTTAGAATTTTTTTTAAGGTTTGCTTTGTAAAGATTTGTAAAAATTAAAAAAAAAAAAAAAGCTGTAAAAATTGATGATTAATATTTTAACTTTTTTTATAAGGTTAATGAATTTTGACTGTTTTTGTGACTAGTACTACAGAAAAATCTAATGTACAGCTCTAATGTCTATTTGCATATATTTACTTTATCAATTTTTTTATATTCATATCTATTTAGGACTCAGAAGAAAACAACTTTGAGCAGATTCCTGTTGGCATTCTGTTAGTCGACAATGAAGACTCTCCTCACTGCTCTTCGTTGATCCCTGTACGTCCAGTCTCCACTGCTATCATCATAGAGGGAGGTATTGTTATGGATGATGTCAGGGACCTGCCTCTTGCTGTTTGTCTCTTGTTTGGACTATCTTACACACTCCATCTTGATTACCCAAAGTGCATGAAGAACACATTCAACTTCATCCAGCAAGTCATGCTTGATCTGGGATCGAAGTCATTGAAACTAGGGGTGCACCGATTGCAGTTTTCTGGCCGATCAACGATCNGTTGTGATTAGTACAGGTGTTGTATGTTGTCTTTCTCTTTTCAGCAGACATGGAAGCAGATTATCTGTTTTGTTTTGTTTTTTGTTTTTTTTCTTTTCTCTTCTTTTTTCTTTCTTTTTTCTTTTCCTCTCTCTCCCTCTCTCTCTCTTCCCCCCTTCTTCTCCTTTGTTTCCCCCCCCTCCCTCTCCTTCTTTTGAGGAACCAAATAAAAATATAAAATAAATTTTAAAAATTAAAAAAATAAATAAATACAAATAAAGTAGTCCTCCGCAGAGGGGGGGTGGAGGAGGGAAAAAAATAATAATAAAAAAAATAAAAAAATTAAATGTTGCTTTGTGACTAGGGACATTTTCTCTGTATAACATGTAGCAAACCTACCCCTCCCAAAATGGGGCTGTTCAAGTAAGATGATGTCGATCATCCATTCAAAATCATGGGACAAAACTTGAGGTGTCATTTACGAATATCTTATCCATTCCAGAAATTAATATCTGGTCAGAGCCATCCATCCATCCATTACCTACCGCTTGTCCGGGGTTCGGGTTGCGGGGGTAGCAGCTTCAGGAGAAATACCCAGACCTCCCTCTCCCCAGCTACCTCTACCAGCTCCTCAGGGAGGACGTCGTGGCGTTCCCAGGCCAGCCGAGAGATATAATCCCTCCAGCGAGTCCTGAGTCTGCCCCGGGGCCTCCTCCCTGTAGGACATGCACAGAAAACCTCTCCGGGTAGCCGCCCAGGAGGCATCCACACCAGATGTCTAAACCACCTCAACTGGCTCCTTTTGACGTGGAGAAGCAGCCGTTCTACTCTGAGACCCTCCTGGATATCCGAACTTCTCACCCTATATATGGTGAGAGCGACTAATGAAAATGGACATTTTTAATACAAAACTG